AGACTTTCATGAAAGATTGATGATAGTGTTTGAAGATACACTTTTATAATAGATTTTGATAATTGACTTTGATGATAGACTTTGATAATTGACTTTGATGATATACTTTGATTATAGACTTTCATGAAAAACTAATGATAGTCTGAAAATACACTTTGATGATAGACTTTTCTAATATATTTTGATAATTGACTTTGATGATAGACTTTTATGATATAATTTGATAATAGACTTTTATGATAATCATTCATCATAAACTGTAATAATCGACTTTGATGATTGACTTAGATGATAGAGACTTTGGTGATAAATTTTGATAAGAGACTTTTATGGTAGACTTTGATGATAGATTTTGATGATTGATAATAGAATCTGATAATTTTCGTATACTGCGTAGCCAATTTCTGAATTATAGTCTGAAGGAAAGTATACGACATCATCACATCAGTGAGTTGTGTTTTTCATTTGAAAGTAGTAAAAAAACAGATTTATAGAAAAAAAATCTACAATAGTTGTAAACTATCGTTAACCGCGTATCATTCAATTTCCGGCAATTAGCTAAAACACACTGAAACTGGGTATGAAATGGATCCGGCCTTTGCGTTTTAATCCATTCAGCAATCGTTGGCGGCTCTCGTAAATTCGGCCCTACAAAATTAACGTGAATATATGTATGAGAAGGCCTTTAACGCGTTGCAAACCGTACGCAGGGTCAAACAGTGTATATAATTAAACGCGAAAGGTAATTTGGCTAATGTCTACTAAAGATGATTTACAACCTTAATCTCTTGGATCGGAATGATCCCTATACGTTCGCAAGCAAACACGACGTCTTACTTACTACCAAACCCCCGGCGCATCCACCCTATCTGAATATTCGCAATAGATTGAAAACAAAGCAAATATATTAATTAATCTTTGGAGTTGAAGCTTCGAATTCGGTGTTATTTATCCTACAGTTAGGATGTTGTATAGCTGATACGGGATTATTGTTTATTATGATTTCCGTTCGTTCGACGCAGAGGGATCCGATCAAAACCATTAAATTTTAATGAAAGTTCATAGTTCACGAGGCCGCACATCATCCGCACAACCGGCAAAGCAAATTACGGTCAACAGCGCGAAACATCATCATTATTATTTCTCCTCGTGGATTTATTTCCACGTAATTGACACGCGTCCATTCGGTTCAATATTTGTCACCAGCTTATATAACAATCGTTATTATCCGATCCGAACATAAAGCGAATCCTCGACCGTAGATAAACACTTACGACAATCTCTTCGATTGTTACCGTGAGATTTACAGACGTTTAAAGTAAAGTCCTTTCTGAATGCTCCAATCTTTTTCTAAAATGCACTTCCATCCGTTATTTTTATGTTCCGCATCGGCAAAGCGGAAAGGGCGAAGCGCGACAACGACGCGCTTTGAATATTTATATAATACGTACACACACACACGTTATATTTCATAAACACGCATTTGAACTATGGACCAAACATACACATAATTGTATTCCCAATGGCAAATATTTGCATTTTCCAACAAAAACATGCAACAAACTCGCGTAGTTATATAAACTATATAAACTTTTTTTTGTATCCAACGGCCGCAAAACAATTGCTTTTGAATTAGCATGATTTGCAGCAGATATGCTATGTTCTGCGGTGGACGAGTAAACTGAATTATCAGGCACGTGTTTTTCCAATTTGGATTTTAAATTATTGTTATTTTTTAAATCAATATTTAGATATGTTCATTAACTATGCATGACATATATCAAATATGTTTGAAAAGTATATTAAACACTATTTTTTAATTATCACCAAAATTTATAGATAGGACAGAAAGTTTCCTAAATTGGACCGATGTTTAGATTGGACCACTCATATAAGAAGTTTTACGACATTTACTATAGATTTTTATAACAGACTTTTATGACAGAAAGATTTTCATCATAGACCTTTAGGACAGACTTAAATCTATATTTAGATTTATTGATTAACTACGCGTGATATAAAACAAGTATGTTTGACAAGTATATTAAATACTATTGTTTAATGGTCACCAATATCTATACATAATTATAGCAGAGAAAGTGTCCTAAATTGGACCGATGTCTAGATTGGACCACTCATATAAGAAGTTTTATGACTTTTACTATAGATTTTTATAACAGACTTCTATGACAGAAAGAATTTCATGATATACTTTTATAAAAGTCTTTTCGGATAGACTTTTTTTGATAGACTTCTTTAGATCTGTTGATTCACTATGCGTGATATAAAACAAATATTTTTGACAAGTATATTAAATACTATTTTTTTTAATTATCACCAAAATTTATACATAATTATAGGAGAGAAAGTGTTCTAAATTGGACCGATGTCTAGATTGGACCACTCATATAAGTATATTTATGACTTTTATGGCAGGCAAATTTTCATGATAGATTTTCTTGTTGCATAGACTTTTTTTGATAGACTTCTATGGAAGATTTTTATGATAGACTTTTATGACTGAATTTTTGACACCGTGTATTATTTCGTAGTTATGTCATTGTGGAGACTTAGAGGCGTTTATGAATATTAAATGCAATATTCTTAATTATTAGCTAAGAGTTACATTCTCTTCTTAACTTAATAATATCTTATTCCTCCTACCCTCCAACTAAGACTAATTTTGTATAAACATCTTATTTTATAGTAGGGAATTAACATATTGGGAATATTTGGAAAGGGATGATGGTACATTTCTGATGAGTGTATTTGGATGATTGTACTTATCTTTCCCTAATGGTTATGTGTTTAGGCAGTTGTACATATTTGTAGTCATTATCGAATGGACCTCCGAATTTGTATACAATAATAGTCCTTACATGGTGATTAACAATAGTGATTAAGAATATCCATTACACATTGATAAGTGTAATTTATATAAAGTCATTAAGAAGAACATACATATACATAAAATAATAAAGTTAACTTTTAGGATAGACTTTTATGATACACCTTTATAAGATTTTTTGAGAGTTTTTCATGATAGACTTATAAAAGACTTTTAGGAGAGAGTTTGATGATAGACTTTTATGAATGACTTTTTGGATAAACTGTTATGATATTCACATTTTATAGCAATTATTTTCTTTTGACACTTAGAAGTTAATTATTTTAATGATTTACTGATTTTATACAGTGTTTTTTAGTGTTATACGTTGCCTAAATTGGATTTGTTTATATCATTTTATACACAGAAGATATAACTAAATACGAAGAAATATGTTATATAGAAAATTAATCTTTCGCGAATATAAAAAGAGAAAAATAAAATATATGCATTAAACGAAAATATAACTACTTTTAATTTTAATTATTATGCTGCAAATCACTTAGAAACATCAAAGGCCCGAAGGGATTGATTTTTATAGCATTAAATAAGATATACATTTAATATACTTATACTTAAATATTATGAGGACAACTGATAAAAAACCTATAGAATAAAAAAAATATCTCGATATAATTTCAGTTAAAAGCACAAATATTTATATATCCTAATTGTTTTTTTCAATATTTATATACGATCTTTTCGATTTCGTCGATGTAATTTCAATTATTTTCTTTTCATCCACAAACAAACAAACTCGAGCAAAAAAAAGGAGAAGCGACTCGATAAAGGAATCCCTAATGAAACACCGTCCGTGCGCTCTTGATGTAAATTGGGTTTGCGACGAGAGTACAAACCCTCCACGTTCTCATCCCTTATTTGTTTTGCATTTTTTTGTGTGTACACTTAAATCTCAAAGTGAAAGAATGTTTTCATTTTAGTAAATCTTTGTCGTGGAAAAAATATGTAATTCGTGTATTAACATCAAGAGATTCGACATTTATTTTTTGAATCTAAGATGTTTTATTCTTTATGCTAATTTTCATAAAAATGATGACCATTATAAACCAATATTGTTTCTACTGTTGTATGAACTACTCAGTACATTTCCATTTTGGAAATATAGTGTAACCTCGCATAACGAGCATTTTGCTTATCGAGCAAAATGATTTTAAGAAAAATGATTCGCTAAACGAGCGACGTTTCACATAACGAGTGATGATGAGAAAATAAGATCCGGATCCTGCGCCTGCTACATTATTTAAAAATTATGTACACATATTATGTATATTTTTAAATATGTTGCACTATACGATGATTTCACTATACGAGTAAATATTCGGAAATTTTGGAACAGATTAAATTTGTTAAGCAAGGTTCCAGTGTATTCGAAAACTAATCAAAATTTAACATATAGTAGATAGGTAAATTAAGAGTTTTAGGCTTCGAGTAGATCGTGTTATATCGAATCAGTGTTGATGGAAGAAGTGTGTTCAATTATTTCATTTCACAAATAAAAATAATGTGAAAATTTAGATTATGCTAGAAAATGTTGTTCTCTTTACTTGCAAGATATTAATTAGAGAAACAACATGAAGTTTCTTAAAAATCATTGAATCTTGTAACTTCAGCATTTTAATTAACTTTTGTGACATGTTCAAAAACTTTGCATTTCTTGCGCTAAATGAGTTTTTACTCTATTCCATTTTATAACTAAAAAAATGTGTTATGTTCTGGAAATTTTTAGATTTGTTCTCGTTACTTAAAATATGTTAAACACAAAATTGAAATAAAGTTTCTTCAAAATCATCGAAATAAAATAACTTTCATTTTTTACTTAACTTTCGTAAGATGTTCAAAATACTTGTATTTCCTGCAATAAACGAGGTATTCTATTTCATAAAATAAAAAAATGTTAGAATTAAAGTTTTCTGGAAAAAAATCTATTTGTTCTTGCTATTTAAAGATGCCAAGCAAATAATTGAAGAAAAAAATAGTGAATTTACGTATTTTAAGTAACTTTTATGAAATGAGAAGTTCAATATATTTCTTGCGCTAAACGAGATCTTACTGTATTTCATTTCAAAACAAAAATATGTTAGAATTTAAAACATTCTAGAAATCTTCCGATTTGTTTTTGTCCTTTTTATCCTTATATTTCCGACCATTTTATTATCATCTATTGTATAATTAATATGTATATTGGTTAGGCATATTATTTTCCTCAAATATACAAACGGATACTTGTATGTGACTATTTAGAATAGCTTGTGGAATATTCTAAAGAATGATTACACATTAAATCGTGTAGATGTGACCATTTCTATCACAGTCAACTGCTGTCCCTTCTATTTGGGTAGGAACATAAAACTTAGATAAAAGAACGGTTGTATCTTCCACATAATCAAAACTGATTTCTATTCCACAAAAAAATACTGCCACGAATCCCCTTTTTGAAATAGATACATTTTTGTATTAAATAATTTAGTCTTAGTTGAAGGAAGAATTCATTATTAAATGAAGAGGAAAATGTAACTTTTAGTTAATAATCCATGTGATCAACACTTGTATAGTTGTCTTGTCAACACTGATATATACAATAAAACTAATTAAGAATATTGCATTTAATAATAATCCACAATGTCCAAATTTGTAATTTGTTTTTGTTAATTAAAACCAGAGCATTATAATATAAAATGTCTTAAAAAAAATCGTATGAAATAACTTTCGTATTTTTGTTAACTTTTGTAAGAGTGTTAACTAAACATCCTTGTACATCCTGTTATTCGTTCTCACGTTAATCGATTTTCACCGGAAGTGTAAAGGATGAAAGTGAACAACACAAACGTTCAGATGGTTATTTTTAAAAAGGTCGAGTTAATTAAAATTAAATATTTCATAAGCGCCTGAAAATCGGACAATGACTGACGGCCCTCTGAATAATTCGCAGCTTTAGCTTTTCGAAAATATACATAGATCCGGTTGAATTATTAAACCCATTCACGATGATGGAAATCTCCATAACCAATTAACAGCAGTAATGCACATTTCTGCATACATTAGTCTTAAATTGCACGTTAAATGTGAAAGTGGCGTTTCCAGTCCGAGTCTGCATATTTAAACAATCTATTAATAGATCAAAAAAATGGGTTATCATATGCAGATATCCTAGCAGTTTTGCGGCTCTTTTCAATATTGGATTCTGTTGTCCGAATTCAATTAATTGAGGATTCATTGTTATGTGTTTTCGTTTTGCAGGAGCTGGAGGAGATATACAAAGACCTATGTTCGACGCTGACGGAGGCCGTTCTGCAAGGAGCCGAAGTGGTTTCGGCAAGGGTGAGTCTACAACTAAAGCGAGTAAAGTCTGCGGCGCCCCGCGGCCCTTTCTTAATTAATTCCAGCCAACTAAATATTCTCTCTCTCGACGAGAACGAGAAGTTGTGCCTCGATGCGCGAAGTTAGACTCGCATTTCGGAGCATGCAGAACACGACACCAAAATATAGCTTACCCGAAACAAACGATATTATTTCGGCCTAAAACTAAACGTCTTCGTTGATGGAATCGAGATTGTGTGTATTTGGAGTTTAATTGAGTTGGATTTCTCCGAAACTCTGCAGTTCAATTCAATTAATAATGAAATAGGTCGATTTCGATTTAAGCATCAACATGACCCATATAGAAAAAGAGTCTATATTGAAATCCCGACAACCATAATCCCGACTGTATCAAAATCCAGAATGTATCAAATTCCCGACTTTATCAAATACCCGACAGTATCTTTTGTTATTAAAATTTCTGCAATAACATCTAGTCACCATCTACTTATTATAACTTAAAGATAAAATAATATGCACCAAATTTAAATACGGCGCTCTTACTTGGACACCCAATATAACGAATAAAAAAGTATAGTAAAAAGAAAGTAAGACAGCAATACCTTTTTTAAGTTTACGATTTTTTTTTAATTTTATGTACTTAGTTCCATTATTAGTCCGGAATAAAATAGAAAAATAACAAAAAAAATTAGTTTTGATTAATTGATAAATATTAATAAAAAAATATAAAATCTTTGAACAAAAAAATAATAAAACTATGACCCATTTTGAACAATCAAATTTATTCTATTAGTAAAAAAATATTTGAAATTTATACAAAAAAGGTTGGTGACCGCTAGCTTTGAAAAAAGAATAAACGTGCTATAAACAAAATCATTTTTTCATTCATTTTACAACAATTTAAAAAAATACTCATAGATATAAATATTTTGATGATTTTATAATTAATTCCATATATTGTATATTTCAGTTTGAAATGAGTTGTAAGTTTTATAGAATTGCAGCCAAAAAAAATATATAATATGTAAAAACAATACTTTTATTAAAAATTATATTCTTTTATGATAAATTTTCAAAATATCAGTGATGAATCTATAGGTATCCATAGACCAGCTTTTAAAATCTTTCCTGCAACGAACAAATATATTATCCTGCAAATCGATCACTGAAATAAATGCATTGTAATCAAGGTCCTTTTCATCTTGGATCCTTTCTGCTGCGTATTCAGCTAAATTCTTCAATCCCAAGACAACAGAGATCAACTCTTCAATCTTCTCCAGCCACGTCCCTAATCCCAACGTACTCACATCGTAATCATATTGATTAATATTAGAAACAATCAGATCTTTATATTTTGTAAATGCACTTAAGATATTCTTCATTTCCTTTGTGAATAAAGTCCACGTTTCCACCTCAAGCTTCATGTTATCCTATATCCACACATCGACATCCTGAACGATACCTAACAATTTGCAGCAAGGATTTATATTTGGTATTTTCATCAAATCTGTAAACAATTGATTTTTGAAATATGCATCTCCTCGCACTTCAAATTTGTTTTCGATTTGTATCATACTTAAGGAGAAGTTCATCCCCAACGAATCGAGCTTTACTTGTAACATTGAAATTGCCATCTTACCAGCAAGCAAGCACGTTAACAACATTTTTATTTTATTGAATTAAAATTTAGTTTATTTTCAAACCGTACTACCAATTTTTGTTTATTGGTACAATTCTATTGGTTTTCAGTTACCAAACTTAAAGTATGTTATAAACATTTTTGTTTGATATTTCTCAGTGCAAAATTGAAAATACAATAATACCTTGCATAGTGCGGGTAATTAGTTCCCCAAAATCTCGGACTAATCAAGGAAATTAAAACAGTATTCAAAACCGCTCATATTAAGACTTTCATGAGACTCTAAAGGAGAAAAAACGTTTATTTATGTATATAAAATAATTTTGTTTATTTTTTTTATGTTATTTTTATTTTGTTCAATTATAAATAGTTTATTTTGAAATTTTCTAATCGTACTAAGATGAATCCGCACTGATCGAATCCGTACTATTGTTTTCGATCAAATTACTTAATTTTGAACCATAATAAACTCAAACAGTATAATTCTAAGGGTTTTCAACTACCGGACTAATTGAGGACTTTAAAACCGCATAATAATAAACAGCACAAAAAGTGTTTTGACTATAAAGAGAAAAATACCATTTTTTATTTTTGTGGAATAAAATAATCTTAGAAATAAAAAGAAACAAAACTTAAATTTAGCTAAATGAAATAAATAAATTTGAACTCATGGGTGACTTATTGTCCAGAATCGAACCAGTTTTCTATTTTTTTTTAATTAATATTGGAATTCAAAACTCATTTGTATCATTATTTTAACTGAAAACTTCTTGAGTTTTAACAACAATCACGTTATTATTTCGTGAGTATTCACTAATTGGAAGATTAACACAAAAGATGATGTTTTGGCATGCCTTCGAAAATCTGGAAATTGAGTGGCAACGCCATGCGTGCTACCGATGGAACTTTAAACCAAAACAAAGCTACATAACCTCAATATGATATGCTTTTGCTTATTATTCAAGATTTAAACAATGCCAGTATATCAATACTTACATTTAATAAGTTAATAAGTATACTTTAGATACAGTTAGTTATATAGAATCTACACTCTACAGTATTAGTTAAATATTGTTAATATTATTAGTACAAATATTTAAACATTTGTTTCGGAATTTCATCTGCTATATTCTACACTCTTAGACAAAATTGAAGCATAATCTTATAAAAATAAACTTATTTCAGAACTAGTTTTTGTTTCATTTTTGCATTGTTTAGAAATTATCCAAATGAAAAGAATTATAATTTTTGTCATCTTATTTCTTTTAAAGTAAATTACAGGTTTTATACAGATTTATATGTTAGTAATAGTAAAACTTATTAGAAATTTTATAAGAAAAATTCAAAATTTAAATTTTATAGCGCTTGTACCTGTGGCGCCTCGGAATGACCTGCCGGTGTACTAAGGATTCGACGATTGCGCCACAGTAGTGGCCACATAAGAAATTTTTCATATGATTTGGTCCCCCTGTCTGCCACTTCATACAAAAAAAATGGCGCCAAATTTAAATACCCTATATAACCAATAAAACAAAGTAATACAGAAATAACTTCTTTTCTTTTTATACTCTCAGTTTATTATTGTTTCTCTTTAGTTCCTCCAATAGTACGGAATATTGAAGAAATTAACTGACAATGCGAAGTGTTGAAGTTTTGTAATATAGAATAAAAAGTTGTAGAAACAATAGCTATTAAACAAATATTACAAATAATACGTATTTGCATTAATTTATAAATATTATTAAATTTAATGGAGTTTTGTTAAAAAATAATTACAATTGAGACACATTTACTTTGTACAAAAATAAATCAAATTGATACAAATTTTCTATATTTTTTATATAGATTTATTAAATTTTTTAAAAAGTAGAAAGGTGTACTTAATTATTTCTTTAAGTACCATAGAAGGAAAAAGTAATATTGAATTAATAAATATTAGTAAACTTTTATTAAAACTTTTTACGAAAATAAATCAAATGGAGAAATATTTGTCAAAAATGTCTTTGTTTTTGTTCAATAGGTAAAAGTTTAAATTTATAACTAAAATAAAATCTTTCTTTGTTTTACTATACTTTTCTTTAAGTATTACAGCATAAAGTACTAACATTTTCACAACATTCACAGATTTGAATATTTTCATCATTTTAAACAATTTTATATAGTTTTTATGCAAAAAAATAGTAGTAGATCAATAAGTATCCCAGTTTTGTAAAAAAAAACAATAATTAATAAAAGTATATTTACAATAAAGGAGCAATATATTATTATAAATTACGATCTTCTATGATACAGTTTCAAAATGTTGGTGATAAATTTATATGACTTTTTAAGAAAAACTTTAAAGTCTTTCCTGCAATTAGCAAACATATTATCCTGCAAATCCATTACTGACATAAATGCATTATAATCAAGATCCTTTTCCTCTTGGATTCTTTCTGCGGCGTATTCACCTAAATTCTTCATTGCCACTGCAACAGCAATCAATGCATCCATTTTGTTCACCCAATCTGATCCCAAAACTGTCACTTCGTCATTACTGTATATATCTTCAAGCGTATTAACAATTAGTTCATTATAATTATTAAATATGCTTATGATCTTATTCATTTCCTCCGACAAAAGAGTCCACGTTTCCACCTCAAGCTTTAGGATATCCTTTATCCAACCATCGACGTCCTGAATTAGCGTGAGGTTTATATTCGGTATACTTTTCAAATATATATAAATATTCTTTTTAACAAACGCAAGTCCCCGTTCGTCAAATTTATTTTCGATTTGAATTATACTTACGGAGAACTTCAACGCCACTGAATTTATCTTTACTTGCAACATTGGAATTGTCATCTTACCAAACTAATAACAGAATAGTAGATGTCTTTAATCTTCTTTATATATATAGCAAAAAATATATACCTGGTTGAAAGTACGGACAGTTTTTCACAATGTGTACTGTAAGATTCTTCTTCTTACGGACAATGAACCCTTATGGACAATAGGTTTCACTAAAATCCCGAACCATTTTAAACCGACCTAATATAAGACTTTCAAAAGAATATGAAAATAAATAGCACAAAAACGGGCTTTACTTTATAAATGAAAAATAGTCAATCATTTAGTGTATGACAATTTTTTAGAATTTGTTTTTATATTGCTCGATTTAAAATGATTTTGTTTTGAAAGTATTCAAAACCCCATTTTGCGATATTTTTATAGATTAACAAAATAATTCACTTTGATATGTAAAAACTAAAACGTAACAGACTTAAGTAAGTATTCGTTATTAGTACAACTGGTTTTCAATTAAACTGTATTATAAACATTTGTATTTGCTGTTTCTCAGTGCACAATTTAGTTCCACCAAAATCGCGGACTATTTGAAACCAAGGACATTAAAACAGTATAAAAAATATAATTATTTCTGCATATAAAAATAATTGTGTATACTTTTTTTTAGAATTTCTTCAATTGTTAAACCGTGCTATAGTGAAACCGTCCGATTAAAGTATACCGCACTGTTTGGAACAGTACTATTCAAGGACACCTAAAAATGAATAGCATAAATAAAAATAAAAGAAGCTTAGATGTTCATAATTATTAACATAAATTTATTAATCAGAATTTCAGAAATAGAACAAAACAAATCAAAGTACTTTATCAAACATTATCCAAACTATTATTATAATTATTTATATAGAATATTTTCTCGGAAAAGGGAATCTATTTTTCACATCATTAAGGATGTTTTCATCGAAATACTGTATTTTCGATATAATTTCAATGTAATAATAATTATTCTTATTTACAACAGTAAAAAAATAAAACTAAAAATTTTCATACATAACAACAATAATATTACTAAAACAAATGAGAAACTGCTGCAAAGGGCTCTTAACTATACGACTTTCTTTCAGGAATTTTAATGTAATTTATTTAAAAAAAGTAAGAATTTTAGTATATTATTAAATTTTATGGAAAATAGATTGTGTGTACTAAAAACCGACAGAATTTATATGTAAATAAAATAATAGATGATAAATTTTGTGTACTATTTTGTTATGACTTAAAAACTATTGTTGAACACAAAACAAACAAAATATATTTGATTAAAGAATACGTGTATTAAATATATAAAATCAATGTTATAATATAGAATATAAAAGAAAATATTTATTATTTGCAACTTGCACAAAAAAAATATGTTAAAACATAAATTAATTAATCATCAAAAACCAAAACTAGTTCGATATCGGCTTCATCATAAAGTGTTGTAGATTCAGTGATGAATGTATACGTATTATTAGACAATGTTGTGAAGTCCTCCTTGCACTGATCGAACATAATTTCCTGCTGATGCATCACCTCAATAAACGCATGATAATCAAGGTCAGTCTTATTTTGGATTCTCTCTGTGGCTTGCTGAGACATATTCAATATATCATTTGCACTAAAGATCAATTCTTCGATCTCCTCCATCCTATACAAATCGACAGTATAATCATATTCAATTAATATTTTCTTATATTTTGTACATATGGTTATGATATTTTTAATTTCCTCCGAGAATGCTCTCCATGACTCCAACTCCAGTATCACGTTCTCCTTGATCCACACATCAACGTTGTCAACGACACCGACCAATTTGCTGGAGGGGTTTATATTCGGTATTCCCATTTGTGTAATTTTTTTCCTTTTACATAACTCAATCTCCCACTCAACAAATTTCTTTTGAATTTTCATCATACTTAACGTGTAGTTCATCGCCATCGGTTCTAACATTACTTTTATCATTGGCACTGACATCTTACCAGTACGGGAGTAACACAACAACTAAAAGACGTTTTGCTTCCAACTTCGACTTTATATACCTGATTCAAAATACGGTTAGTAGTAACTAAGTGAGGAACTAAAGGCTCTAAAGAAACACACATTTCTAGTAGCGGGTCCTTCCCAGGACTTCGTTCCCTAGATATTCCGGGAAGGACTTAGGAATTAGCCTACCTGCTGAAATTCCCATCACAAATTTAATAAATATAGATAATTTATACTCTATAATAAATTTGCAACCAGCTAACCAGTATTTTTTTGATGATACAAAATGGGAATCGGAACTTAGAGATTTAACTCTCACCAAGCTAATGTTTGTATGTTTTTAAATAATATTTTAATGTTAGTTATTGTTAATTATTGAAAAAAAAGATAAAGATTTAATTAATGTAAGCTTTTATTCAAATATATGAACTGCAGACAACTATTAAAATAAAGTTTTATGAAA